TATATATTCGCCATTTGATGTTTTTTGTGCTACATTATTTTTTGGGACTAACGATTTATGGGATTAAAAATAAATCAATTGTTTTGTTTTGTGTAAAACAAAATCATAGAATTTTAAAGAAATATTCAGGGGAAATTTTGTCGTTCGCACTACGGGACAGGAACATATTCACCAAACAAATCAGTGAATATGTTCCATATATGCAAAAAAAACAAAAAATGGTTTTGAAAATGTGCAGATCCACGAGTGTTTCACGAGTCCCCACGAAGCGAGACTCATGAAGAGTTGCGAGTGTTTACGAGGAGTCAATTTTGACTCGTGGAAATTCATCGCGTCAGTCAAGGTCAACTGCGCGAAAATATCAGGACCCGCGCTGTGAGAATAAGAACAAGGAATGAATGCACTAGGAAACATGTGGGTACAAGTAGGAAAACCTAAAAGTGTTGTACCCCATATTATCTACCCCACTACAGCCTACACAGACTATAGCATATAAGTCTGACACACCCCCATAGGCAAAGTGGGGGAGAACAAGGGGTCACAAGACCAGTCAAGCAAAGCAAAGCAAGCTCAGGGTGGATCACAACGTCACCACACATTCCGAGCACAGGTTCAAGGCCACAAGGCCAGTTCACATGCAGGATCATATATATAAAGGTAAACAAGCAAGTGCAGGTATATATAGAACACAGTACAAGCAAGGTCAAGAAGTAAGCAAGTGAGGCCAAGTAGGCACAAGACCTAGCATCTTACAAAAGCGCTGATGATCACAAGGCTGAAGTGCCTTGGTAAAGATATCAGCAGTGTTGGCCTGAGAGGCCACGTAAGCAAGGCGCAGCTGACCACGCTGTTGTAGCTCACGAGCAAGGAAGTAGCGAAGAGCAATGTGCTTCGTTCTGTGCTCCAGTCTGTGCTCTCGACACAAGGCCAACATGGCCTTGTTGTCTACGTACAGAACTGGAGGAGAACGAGGCGGCACTCCTAGGTCAGTCAGCAGGTAGGTGACCCAGCGTAGCTCCTGTGCAGCCATGGCCCCCGCGTAGATCTCAGCCTCACAGCTGGATCCGAGAACAGAAGACAAGCGGGTAGACCGCCACGAAACAGAGCCAGAACCAAGGCTGAAGGTGTAACCCTGTGACGACCGCTGCGTAGCCTGGTCGTCAGCCCAAGAAGCGTCTGAGTGCCCAGTGAGGACAACTCGAGCCCGTCCTCCAAGCACAAGCCCCATGCCCGACGTACTGCACAAGTAGCGCAACACCCTCTTAGCTGCATCCATGTGCTCCTTCCGGTGACGGCCAGGAGCGACATAGCGTGCTAGGATGCTAAGAGGGTATGCAAGGTCAGGTCGAGTGCAGGTCATCAGGTACATGAGGCAGCCCACAAGCTCTGGATACGGGCCACTCGGCTCTACGGACTCATCCGAAGACAGAGCTGAGAGCGAGTGACCAGTAGGCAGAGGAGTGGGCTGAGGCGAGGAGTACGTGAAGCGGAAGCGCTGAAGGACCTGCTGCACCATGTGTGACTGAGTCAAGGTGATGGTGCGCTGTGCTCTGTCCCGGGTGATCCGCAAGCCAAGATAGCTTGTCAGCTCACCCAGGTCTGTGCACGTGTGTCTCTTCTGCAGCTCCGACTTCACGTGGGCGAGTGCCTCAGTGTCAGCAGTAGCAAAGACCAAGTCGTCTACGTACACGAGAACGTAGAACGGCGGCAGAGTGGTGTCGGTGCGTAGAAACAGCGACGGGTCAGCAGTAGAAGGAGCAAACCCAAGAGCAGCAAGAGTAGTCCTCAGTGTGTCGCCACTCACGGGGTGCCTGGCGGAGACCGTAGACTGGCCGCCGGAGGCTCCACTGGGTACCAGGAGGAAACGACCCAGTGAAGCCAGGTGGGCGGCGCAGCCAGATCTCCTCGTGCAGGCTGCCCTGCAAGAAAGCTGTGCTGAAGTCAAGAGAGTGAAGCTCGTAGTCACGCTGAGCGGCTATGTGCAGCAGCACCCGAAGAGTGGTCATCTTCGGGGTGGGAGAGAAGGTCGGAAAGTAGTCAACTCCCTACCGCTGACTGAAGCCTCGAGCCACGTAACGCGCCTTGAAGACAGGCGGAGAACCCGGCGGCCGCTTCACCCTGAAAATCCACATGCCACTGACGATGTTCGCCCCAGGTGGGGGAACCTCGTCGACGTAGGTGCCTGTGGACTTCCAGGAAGCCATCTCTGCGTCCATGGCTGACTGCCACTGTGAGGAGTAGGGACCCTCGATCGCCTCAGCGTACGATCGAGGAGTCGGGATGTCTGGTGCATCCGGGTCTCCCTCAGGGGCAATCACATGGACACGAGATGAGGCAAAGTTGTAGCAAAACACTGGAACTCCTCCTGCCTGTCCTCAAGGACGTCCGTGCTAAGAGCACACTCACCCCCGACGGACGGAGGACAGACAGACTCAGACTCAGCAACAAGACTCGCGGCGTAGTCTAGACGACAGTGAGCAGCGAAGTCGACAAGCTCAGCAACTAAGGCAGACGCAGCAGTGGACTCAAAGGAAGGGTCAGTAACAACAGTAGCCAGGAGACGCGTGACAGTAGGACTGGCAGCACGAAGGGAGTCAGACGCCGGGTCAGCAAGAGCAGGAAGAGAGGACTCAGGAGGAGACGGCAAAGGGACACGCTGCGGAGCAGTGGAAGGACGCAGTGCCATCTGATGCGTGCCCGGGACCGCAGGAGGATGCTGACGCTGAACACGACGACTAGCGCGAACAGCACGAACAGGCGACGCAGGGCGAGACGCAGGCGCACAACGCTCAGCAAAAGGACCACCAGAAGACGGAGCAGCACCGGCTCCTGTACCCCCAGCAGCACCTACTCCGGCAGCACCCCCAGCTCCAGCTCCTCCAGCAGGTCCAGCACCAGTAGAACCACCAGGCCCAGCAGCTCCAGTACCTCCAGTACGAGCACCTCCGGGACCCGTGGCTCCAGCACCCCCAGCAGCAGTAGAAGCTCCAGCACCAGCAGCAGCACCAGCTCCAGCAGCACGACTCCAACGCCGAGCAAACCACTCGCGCAGCTCCTGTGGAGAGGGTAGCTCCCGCCGAGGCGAAGCACCTGAAGGACCTCCAGGCTCCGCACCCCCAGGCTCCGCACCCCCAGACTCAGCAACCCCAGGCTCAGCACCCCCAGACTCAGCACCCCCAGTCCCAACACCCCCAGGCTCCGCACGCTCATGCTCAGCACCCCCAGACCCGGCACCCGCAGGCGGAGCACCCGGAGCAGCACCAGAGTCAACAGCTACCTCGACAGGCTCGACTGCGTCTACCTGAGACACACCTGAGGGGGCAGGACCCTGAGGGGGAAGGGGGTCTACCGGGGGGGGACCTGGCACGAGGAAGAGCGGCGGGGGGGGGGAGGGGGGCAGCGCGGTAGGGGAAGAGACGGTAGTACGGCACCGACTCGTCAAACGTGACGTCCTGGGAGGACAGAACACGGCGCGAGGTGGGGTGGTAAAACTGCCAGCCAGGCGCGTCAGGGGGGAAGCCAAGGAAGACGCAGGGAACAGCACGGGAGGATAGCTTGTCCGCAGACAAGTCGCGGACGAAAGCTCGAGATCCCCAGACACGGAACGCAGACGCATCGCCAACCTTCCCTGTCCACCGCAGAGTGGGGGAGGTCTCCGGCATCGAGACCCGGGGCTGAAGGTTGATCTGATGCGCCGCGTACTGAACCGCGAACGGCCACAGAAAATGGGGAGCAACCGCATGGATCATGGACGTACGAGCGACGTCCATGATCATGCCAATGCGGCGCTCAGCAATCCCATTTTGCTGTGGAGAGGCCGGAAGCGTGAACGTCTGGCGGATGCCCTCCGCACGACAGAAGGCTCGCAGAAGGTCGGAGGAAAACTCTCCACCTCTGTCAGAGTGCAGACGCAGAACAGGAAAGTCCGAGCCGAAACTCTCTCTGAGCTGGAGACGGGCAGCGCGGATCCAGTCGATCAACACCTCAGTGACCTCACCCTTGCGGCGCAACGGGAAGACTGAGGTGTAACGCGAGTAGTCGTCAACCACCAGAAGGAAGTAACGCTCGTGACCCTGTCCACGGACGCGGGCTGGGCCCCACACGTCCATGTGGAGAGTCTGCAGTGGAGCCTCTGTCGAAGGAAACTCGGAGGAGTGAGGAGCGGCGCGCTGCCGCCCCTCGACGCAGGGAACGCAGGTAGGGGCAGGCCCCGGGGGAAGGGGAGGGAGGGACCGGGGCAGACCAGAGACAAGGACACGGGAGGCCATGCCCCGGAGACGAGGCAGGGAGGGGTGACCAAGGCGGTGGTGCCAGAGGAGGGTCTGGTGAGACAGGAGACGACACGAGCAGGGGGCAGACTCAGGACCAGACCTGGACGCTGCAGCAAACACCTGACTCGACGCAGCTACCTGACCAGACGCAGGAACTGAAGGAGACTCGGTAGTGAGTGTGTACAGGCTCGACCCCGGCTGACGGGTAAACGTGGCCAAGTGTCGGCCCCTCCGAGCACACGTGCAGTGGGTCACTCGCTGACTCGCAGGAGTGAACTGGTCAACCCCCCATCCTGTAGGTCAGCACCACTCACCAAGTTCGTAGAGAACGAGGGGAGGTAAAGACCTGACAGGGAGCCAGAAGGGGCCGCCGGACACGGTAGGACAGTGGAGTAGTGGGCAAGGACAGGACCCCCAGAGGGGTCTGCCAGGGAGACTTCAACCGGCCGACTAAGCGGCGTGAGTGTGGTGCGGTCTCGAAAGAAGGAGCGAGAAGCTCCCGAGTCAAGGGTGAAGGTGTGAAAGATCGCAGCAGGCGCAGCACCAGAGAGGGCAGACTCACCAGTACCTGGAGCAGTAGACTCACGAGCACCTAGAGCAGCAGCCTCACCGGCACCTGGAGCAGGAGACGCACCAGCACCTAGAGCAGCAGCCTCACCAGCACCTAGAGCAGCAGAACCTAGGGCTCCTCTCTTTTTTTTTTCTTTTTTTTTAAATTAATTATTTATTTTAGGGTTTGGCAGGTCGCACTCGGCGCTGCAGAGGCGGCTCGCGGGCTGCAGCGAGGGGGACGGAGCGCGGCTTCCCAGGGCGCCGCGACGGAGCAGCGGGGGGGGGGGGGGGCGCGCGGCTCCCCAGGGCGTCGCGACGGGGCAGCGGGGGGTCGCGCGCGGCTCCCCAGGGCGTCGCGACGGGGCAGCGGGGGCCGAGCGCGGCTCCCCAGGGCGTCGCGACGTGGCAGCGGGGGCCGAGCGCAGCTCCCCAGGGCGTCGCGACGGGGCAGCGGGGGCCGAGCGCGGCTCCCCAGGGCGTCGCGACGGGGCAGCGGGGGGCCGAGCGCGGCTCCCCAGGGCGACTCGACGTGGCAGCGGGGGGTCGCGCGCGGCTTACCAGGGCAGTGCGACGGGGCAGCGGGGGGCGACACGAGGGTCGCTGAGGCAGCGCCCACGGGCGTCACGCGGCTCGGCAGGGCAGAGGCAGCGCCCACGGGCGACACGCGGCTCGGCAGGGCAGCGCGCTGGCTGCAGGGGCAGCACCCACGGGCTGCAGGGGCAGGCACTGATGCAGAGGCAGCGCCCACGGGCTGCAGGGGCAGGCACGGCTGCACGGGCGGGCACGGCTGCAGGGGCAGCACGGTCGCAGGGGGAGCACGCCGGCTGCAAGGGCAGCGCAGCTGCAGGGGCAGCTAAAAAAAAAATATTTCAGTTAGGGCAGGGCGGAACGTTCTGTTAATTACTAAAGAGACTAGAAACCTCTAAGCACACCTTTAATCCACACTAGGATTTCCCCACGGGGTCACCTCCAAGTGTCCTCGGGTGCCTGGTAGAACCAGCCCCCAACCAAGGGTCCGTGTTTGTAGAGGGATTTCCCAAGCGTGAAAACAATCGTGTGCTCTAGAGTAGTCACAAACTCAGTTTAATGACTGATTGGCTCGTGTGCTGATAATTCCCCTCACGTCAATACGATGATAGAGAATATTTCATTGACAAAAGGTTCATCACAAACAAAGGCAAGTAAGGATTTATACTAACCCACCAAAAGCAAAAGCTAACAGCCCACCGAAATGACAACTAGAACCATACTTCGAATTGCCAACTTTTTCCATGCGAATCTGCTGGCAACATACTCGCCCACGAACGTTTATGTAGGCCATACTTGTTCGCGAAGCCTCGTGGACGCTCGTGGTGTTTCGTGGCGACCACTCGTGACAGCTCACGGAATCTCCTGAAGAAATCGCGCAGTTATGCGACGAAATTACGAAGTCGCCGAAATCACTCTCGCACAATTCGCACCAGCTTCGAATGTAAATCGCGCGCTTCACGAAACACCCCGTAGCGAAATTCCTCTCGGCTAATGAGGACAAACAGCTCAAGGGTTCCACAATTCAATTGTGGACCCACGTGCCCTCGTCCTTTCCCACGCGCCAACTCACTGCCACACTCGCGCGTGTGGCGAGGAATTCAATCGCGCCCTCAGGCCGCGCGTGTGCCTTGACTGGCACACTCCCATGATTGCGCAATATGCGCAACAGTGCTCGGGCTCATGGCCTCGAGCCTTGACCACCTCGCTAGGGGCGAAGTCCCCTAAGCCTTATAAACAAACACGAAATTACAAACGAACTCATTAAAACAACTGAAAACGCAACTCTCAAACTTCACCTGAAAACCACGAGCTCACACGAAATCAAACGAACGCCTCGCGAACAAACTCATGAACATTCACGACACTTTCACGAACACTCGTGACTCGCAGATCACATGAAATAACACTAACACACACGAAATCTCGGAACTTACGAAATGACACGAACACTCGTCTTCACTTCCGGAAACTCATGAACACACACAAATGCAACCCTTCACAAAAATGCTCATAACTCATGAACCGTCGAGGCGATTCACGAACCGTAAACATCCAAACTTAAAGCACAGAAATGCGCACCTCACACATAACAAATTACCTTCAAACAGAAAACTTCATTTACCTTCATCGCCGGCGAATAGGCGGTAGGTTGACATGCAAAACGCATATTGCACTCAACAAACTCCCCCTCAACCTGCCGACTATTCGAGCCCATGACCGTCACTCACTGACTCAACAACACCTTTCACCGCTTCCAACAGTGGCACTGGAGGGTCTGCACCATTGCCCAGCTGCTCTCCCCTTTTCTCTAACTCCAGGTTCTCCTTGTCGGCCAGCTTCATCAGGTTGCCGATCCCCACACCAGTTCTAGGAAATACACTATTGTGCTCCCCCACAATTTCAGCTTCCACATCATCTGCTGCAACCATTTGCAGCTTCACCGAAATATTGCCGCTATCCACTGAAGGAATTTCAGCTTCCTCCTTGCTGAGCTTCACATCGGGTTCCTCGATCACCTCGGTTGCATCAGCTGCAACGCTTGCCGCTTGCAGCACCAGCGTCTTCTCCTTAACAGCTTCACTCTTTGGCTGCACCATGACTTCAGGCTTCTGCTTCTCACGAGTGCCACCCCTGTGCACTCCCTTCTCCTTGTTCAGGACCGCAGCCTTAACATTGCTCCCCCTCGATACTGCACCAATCTTCTCATCAGCACCGGTTACATTTCGCTTTTCAGCCGCTGCAAGTCGAGCATTCACCAGCTTCAACTGCTGCACCAGCTTCCCCACTGTCATTTGCAGTTCCTTAATCGTTTCAGCAGCCATTGCCGCACATTCTCCCTTGCAGCCGCAGCTCCCTTTCTCCTTCTCAGGTGCCACCTCACTCCATGGCACCACTGGCACATGCCACAGCTCATCACGAAGATCCTTGTCCTCATGCAAGTCCCACAGCACATGACCATCGAGCTGCCCCTTGAAGGTTTCAGCTCCATTAGTTGTTGTACATACGCCTGCAAGCCCCATCTTCCTAAGAGAAATCAGATTCCCTTTCAGCTCCGGCACCAAGAGCACATCTTCTAAGATGATCGGCTTCCCGTCAGCTCCCTTGAATGCTGCCTTGCCGACTCCCAACACCTTCATCGTGTACCCGCATCCCGAATTCATTTCGGTGATGCTCGTCATGCGAACTTTCTCTAGCAGGTCCGCCCTCGGGGTCATATGACACGCAGCTCCGGAGTCTAGAATCCATGTGTTGAGGGGATGAGGCTCTGCTCCCTCCTTGGCAGATGCCTTCTCATCTCCCCTACTCCCTTGCACGTGGAAGAACTGTCCAGTAGCGCGTTCCCAACTATCTCCCGTTTCATTTGCGGTCTCTGCTACATAACCAACGCCATGCTGTTGGTTCTCCTTTCGGTCACCACCCTCATATCCGGGGGTCCACCCTTTAGGCCGCTTCCAGCACTTTGCCCACGTGTGCCCCGACTTCTTGCAATACCAACATGTACCCTTGAACCCTTGGTAGCCACCATGCTCATCATCTTCTTCATCATCACTTTTGTCACTTCTCTGCTTCCTTTCATCACGTCTGTTTTCATGTCGTCCTTGTTCACCACGTCCGCTTTCAAACCGTCCACGCCCACCACGCTCTTTTCCTTTACGCCAACTGCTGCCTTGCATGCCGTAGCCGCCATCACCATCTTGATTCAAGTTGAACTGCCGCCTCCTAAAGTCCTCCTCCAGTATCTTGGTCCTCACCCATTCGAGCGTCCATGAGCCTTGGTTCTGTGGAAGGCTGAGGCCGCTCGTGAACTGCAACCAAGACTCGGGCAGCAACGACAGCATCCGCAAGCACCTCGTTTGCTCCGTGTAGGTTACGCCCGCAATCTTCAGCTTAGCGTATAACTCCCGCATCTTGTCAAGGACGGGTTGAATCGGTTCCCCTTCATTCAGACGCAACGACGCAAGTTCACGCTCCAGCATGAGTGTTGCAACCACCGAGGTTGGCGCATGTAGCTCCTTAAGCACCTTCCAAGCTAGTGGTCCACATTCAGCTTTCTCCAGCAGATGCATGACGTGTGATCGCTGGTTCAGGTCCAAGCTCTGCGATAGGAGGTAGTAGCCGGCCGTCGCACGCTCGTCCCACTCCTCTTGCAGGTTGGGGTCGTCCGGCCTCTTCTCCTCGCCCGTCATCTGCTTCAACAAGCCGACTTGCCGAAAATACAACTGCATTTTCCACGCCCAATCGTCGTACCCATTGCCGTTGAACTTGTCGACGCTGAAGTTCTTGAGCACCTCCTTCAATAGTGGGCCCTGGCTCGTCCGCACTCCCCTTGGTGCTGAACCTCCAGTATCATGGCTTCCACTATTTGCACGTGCAAGAGATCCTTCAGTTCCGCCCGATTCCATGGTGTTCTAACGGCAGCACTTAGAACCACAGCTCTGATACCGATTGTTAATTACTAAAGAGACTAGAAACCTCTAAGCACACCTTTAATCCACACTAGGATTTCCCCACGGGGTCACCTCCAAGGGTCCTCGGGTGCCTGGTAGAACCAGCCCCTAACCAAGGGTCCGTGTTTGTAGAGGGATTTCCCAAGCGTGAAAACAATCGTGTGCTCTAGAGTAGTCACAAACTTCGTTGCGCAGCGTTAAATGACTGATTGGCTCGTGTGCTGATAATTCCCCTCACGTCAATACGATGATAGAGAATATTTCATTGACAAAAGGTTCATCACAAACAAAGGCAAGTAAGGATTTATACTAACCCACCAAAAGCAAAAGCTAACAGCCCACCGAAATGACAACTAGAACCATACTTCGAATTGCCAACTTTTTCCATGCGAATCTGCTGGCAACATACTCGCCCACGAACGTTTATGTAGGCCATACTTGTTCGCGAAGCCTCGTGGACGCTCGTGGTGTTTCGTGGCGACCACTCGTGACAGCTCACGGAATCTCCTGAAGAAATCGCGCAGTTATGCGACGAAATTACGAATTCGCCGAAATCACTCTCGCACAATTCGCACCAGCTTTGAATGTAAATCGCGCGCTTCACGAAACACCCCGTAGCGAAATTCCTCTCGGCTAATGAGGACAAACAGCTCAAGGGTTCCACAATTCAATTGTGGACTCACGTGCCCTCGTCCTTTCCCACGCGCCAACTCACTGCCACACTCGCGCGTGTGGCGAGGAATTCAATCGCGCCCTCAGGCCGCGCGTGTGCCTTGACTGGCACACTCCCATGATTGCGCAATATGCGCAACAGTGCTCGGGCTCATGGCCTCGAGCCTTGACCACCTCGCTAGGGGCGAAGTCCCCTAAGCCTTATAAACAAACACGAAATTACAAACGAACTCATTAAAACAACTGAAAACGCAACTCTCAAACTTCACCTGAAAACCACGAGCTCACACGAAATCAAACGAACGCCTCGCGAACAAACTCATGAACATTCACGACACTTTCACGAACACTCGTGACTCGCAGATCACATGAAATAACACTAACACACACGAAATCTCGGAACTTACGAAATGACACGAACACTCGTCTTCACTTCCGGAAACTCATGAACACACACAAATGCAACCCTTCAAAAAAACGCTAATAACTCATGAACCGTCGAGGCGATTCACGAACCGTAAACATCCAAACTTAAAGCACAGAAATGCGCACCTCACACATAACAAATTACCTTCAAACAGAAAACTTAATTTACCTTCATCGCCGGCGAATAGGCGGTAGGTTGACATGCAAAACGCATATTGCACTCAACAAAAGGTGGGAACGACAAAAGAAAACGAAGAGAAAGTTGCAAAAAAACAGAAAAAGAAAAAAAATAGAGTAAGACAGTGAGGCGGATAAGGGAGAGGGAGGCAGACGGACGACAGAGAGAAATGGAGGAGCGAGTGAGCTGGACAAGGGAGAGAGACAAACGTGGCGTCGTGAACTCTACATAATATAGAGAAAACGTATGTGAACCTTTGATCGAAACATGCAAATCGACCAATCACGAGGAGATAAACATCTAGAGACCTTTTTCCCTAAACTAAAGAACGAACTACTACTCTAGTAAGTTCACGGCTCACCTAAGTAGCACGAGTCGAGGGGGGTATTAAGTTGAGTTGAGGGAAGCACCAGCTAGAGCAGCGTGAAGACAGCAGAGAACAAAAAGAAGAGAACAGATTGATTGAGAAGGCAAAGCATATCCAGCCTTGTTACTTCCTTCTATGAGAGTTGTAGCAGTGTCGCCAGGCACTCGTACGACGTGTGGTCTCTAAGGCCAACACTTCAGATATCTTCAGCAAGGCGTTGCCGCCTTGTGACCACCAGTGTTTCTGCACCTAGCTAGGCTTTGTGTCTACAGGCCCTCACTTGCTTGCGTATAGATGCTTTTTCTTGTACTCTTGCATCTCACTATATTTGCTACACTTGTTCGCGGAGACCCTCATGCACAACCTTAACAAATGCTTCGAGGAGTTGCAGAGCTTGGATGGAGTGAGACTTTTCACTCCAGACGAGTGGCCACTAGGGAGGGTAGCGCAATAACCAGTGCCTAGAGTGGCTTACGTCACTGGTCACCTTGTTCAAAGCAGAGAAGAGGGAATGTGTTATGTGATGCTATCATTTGCATTCACGTTTGTCTGCCTCCCATCATATGTTCATGCGTTGCATGCGTGGTGTGAGCATGTGCAAGAATTTCTGTGGTTTGGATTCTCTGAGTGTGTGTGAATGTTATTTGGCTTGAGCAGATATCTGAAGTGACTCCTCTGCTCAAGAGCTTTCCGACGAACCAAGTATCGCTTCAATCGGAGCACGAACAAGAAAGTTACGAACGTTGGAAGTTCGTATGCTTTTGATATTTGGTTGTGGTGACTATGGGAAGTTGTGGGGTTGACTCCATAAGGGGTATAGACTTTTGGGGGTTGGGAAATTCGTTAACATCACTGTATATGCTGCCAAGTGGTTGGGAGGAGCCAAACCAGGTTGGCAAGTGTGGTCAAGTTGGGCAAGGTGGATGGCATGGGTTGGAAAGTGACAAAAGTAAAAGTGGGGTTCCTATAGGGAAGGGATTTGGTGTGCTTATGGTGTTTCCTTGGTTGGGGACTCCTTGGGGACCTTTCCTCTCGTCCTCCTCTTCCCTCCCACCTGGTTAATTTCCACTCTAACAATCCTTGTGTGTTCAATTCTGAGACTCTTATCATTGAGTTAAGTTCTCATGGCAGCATATCCCCCTGTGCGCCGAAATTGATAAGTCGAGATTTACTTCACCTCTTGATACGATTCAAATTGGGAATTGTAGCCACGGACTAGGGCTACAAAATATCAGAGTTTGGTGAAGTTTTGACCGTGAACTTTTCGTCGACGGCGTTTCTTGTGAGCGCGACTATTCTGTCCAGAAATTGAGACCAACGATTTTGTGATATTTCAGATCCTAATCTTCAGAGACTCCGTCCTTAGTCTTCAACAAGTGGTATCAGAGCAGATTATGGACTTTATGGAGAGTCTACAGAAGTGTGAAGACCCTTCTAGACCCACCATGGCCTGTGGGCGTGCCTAAGTGGAGTTCTAGAGGTTGGATGTGACTTCCGCTAAGGGGAATCTCTGCCGAAATTTCGTTGGCGCCGACACTTGTGAAAATATTGTGGGACTTCAGTGTGGACAGCAAGGGGGGAGCTGAAATTTGTGATTGGGAGCAGAGGAAATGAGTCAAGGGAGTGGAGAAGCAGCTGAGAAGAGGAGTGAGCCGCCATCATCCAAGATTGAGGCGTTGGATGGCTCCAACTACGAGGAATGGAGCGGGCGGATGCGGAGCGCCATCAAGC